AACCTCAATTTTCATGCGAATTTCGCCTTATTTCGTATACGAACGGCATTCGAATGGTTTCGAAAATACGACCCCTGAGGTAAAACAAATCATTTATTTACATTCGTGTAGATTAGGCCGGTTATGTTTTACGCGGTTTTCACAGCTTTTTTACAAGTTTTGGTGTTAGAGTGGAGTGTTTGTGTGGAGTGTTTGTGTTCCAATCTATGTGGTGGTTTATCCAAAAGTTTGCTAGGTTTTCCTATACTGGATTAAATTCAGGTTTTTTCCAACAAATATCAAAACCAAATGTCTCAAGAACAAATATATAAAGCCTGTTTTTTTTTAAAGATAATTCCCCAAGTCAAAAATTTAGTAACTGTTGGCAATACAAGCTTTTTCTATATAAAAAATTTGAAAGCATTGACAATTTTACATTGTATTGCCAACATAATGTCATTTTGACTTTAATCTTTTAAAAAAAAAACAAACTTTAAGTATATTACTCTATATTCAATCTATTTTTCTGTCAGATCTTCTGTTTTAAGAATATTAATCAATTTTTCTCTTCTTTCTTGAGCTAACAAATCAAACCTCCCATTGTCATTTAAAATTGATGGAAACCTATAGAAGGATATTGTATCCCCTGCGCTATACTGCCACAATTAACAACCAAACAAACTCTAGGCATGTCCAAGAAACTTCTGGAGCACACAAAAGGTATTTATTTTAAAAAATCTAACTAAAAACTTAAAAAACAATGTAAATTATATCTTTGTTTTACCATTGGTTTTACCCAATGAACTATAAACTACACGTACCTGGAATGGCAACAACCGTTGTCGTATATGGCATTTATATGGCATTTGTCATCTCTCTTGGTGCGTCCAAAGAAAGCTATATAGTGGGGGATCCCTTTCTCTCTCTATTTCATTGCTGTTAGGTTTGGTATATATTCCTACCATCAAATTTAATATTTTTTAGACAAGGAAAGATTTTCATAAGTGACCGATAAGGTAAATAGAGATAGGAATCCCCTTCATTCTCCATCTCAATTTGCCGCATTCAAGAGACAGGCCGGGCCTCAAGGCGACTGTCAATAGTGTCAAACTGTCAGATCGTGTACTTGCCCTATTAGGCAATCTACTGACCTGTCAAAAACGAAATTCAATATGGAAGTTCGGGTCAAGCATTGGGTCAAGCACCAAAATGTGACAGAATCAATGACATACAGAATAAACAACAGTTTATTCTGTATGTCATTGATTCTGTCACATTTTGGACAGACGTCCAGATTTGAATTATCGGATTTTGTGGAGCGGCTCGAAACACACACAGCGTTACCGCGCCTGGCGGATCAACTAATTCAAAAACGCATAATCTCGCTGTTGCCAGTTGTTTGCGTACACTCACACCGTACGCAATGGCATCTTCTGGTGACGAAGATTTTTGTTGGATTTTCTTAGAATATTCCTCTGAGGGCATATCCCAAATCGCTTGCCTTACGTGAATTTCATAAATTAGCCTCTCAACATTCAAATTTTCCAAAATTTTATTCTCAGTGGCAACACTGATGTTCACGATAATCAAAAAACCGTACTTAAACCGCTCGACGTGTGTTTCCTTCCATAAGCGAACAGGGAATAATGTGCCGATCGTGTGCCGACTAGAGTCGTAAAACCGCGCGCGGCACATGATAGCCAGTAGGGTACGCTCGGCCACCGCGCGGCAGCCGCCTTCGACGCGACATGGTCTGGTTCATACAATATAGAAGTGTAATAAACGAGACGCCGCTTTGGTGAACGAGTCGGCGGCCGACTCGGCAAAAACCGCTCCGTGTGTTTTAGGCCTAAGAGGTGCGTTCAAAAAGTTTGTGCCAATTCCAATAACCACGACTTTACTTTGTTCAACACTGATGTTCATATGCTCATTTTTATTGAGAGTTTTTAAGATATTTTGCTCAAAACTGAAGATTTTAGCGTTCAATGTTGCGAAAACGCTTTGGAATTTTTGACGTCATTGTTTGCCCTTAGTAGCTCCATCCTTATCTTCCCTCTCATTCGGGAGTCAATGTAGAGCAAATTGGGCTGATCCAAATCTTTTAGTATGTCATTGGTTAATCTCCCCCACCCCCTCCCCCCCCCACGATCGCATCCCCTGCTATTTCCACGGGGTTTGGTGCGCTAGTTTTTAAAAGTGGTGCTCTAGCCCGCGCTTCATATCCTCTATCTGCGCTAGCTCTTTGAGCAAAAAAATTAAACTGGGGAGTCGTCAAATATAGATTATGGATATGGGGATAACTCAAAATTGAAATAGCCTTCAGATTCTGTATTACTTGGCTTCAATAAAAGCATTCTTCGGAAAAGTGTCTCTAAATCCACGACTACAACATTATCCTCACCCAGGTTTATTTTAGAAAATACACTTTTCAAAGGCAATACTTTCATATACAGTGTGTCCACTTAGTGCGATATCGGACGATATCTACTTACAGGGTGATGCAAGAAAAAAAAGTTAAATTATAAAGTTGTTTGATACTCTAATATGCATTAGTTAAAAATATTTTTAAATATACAGGGTGCTCCTTTATGGGGTATGCGACAGAACTTCGTTATTTTAAATGGAACACCCTGTATGTGATTGCATATTTGGATTCTACGTAAAATTCTGAGCAGATTTCATATGATATACCCTTTACCTAAGTTCAACTGTTTTGGGAATATTGACAGTTGAAAACTTACTTTTTGCAACTTTGACAGGCTGCAAAACCGAAACGGGTAATTTTAGACGAAAACCGATTTTACATTCCTATCTTAGATTTTTATGAACTATCATTTGACACCAACTTTGAATTTAATCCATGATTAAAAATTACAGTTGAATTTAATCTCCGGTTAAATTCAAAGTTGGTGTCAAATGATAGTTTATGAAAATCTGAGATAGGAATGTAAAATTGGTTTTCGTCTAAAATTAACCGTTTAGGTTTTACAGCCTGTCAAAGTTGCAAAAAGTCAATTTTCAACTGTCAATATTTTCAAAACAGTTGAACTTAGGTATAGGGTATATTACATGGAATCTGCTCAGAATTTCACGTAGAATCCAAATATGCGATCACATACAGGGTGTTCTATTTAAAATAACAAAGTTCTGTCGCATACCGTATAAACGGAGCACTCTGTATATTCAAAAATATTTTAAACTAATGCATATTAGAATACCAAACAACTTTGTAATTTAATTTTTTTTTCTTGCATCACCCTGTAAGGAGATATCGTCCGATATCGCACTAAGTGGACACCCTGTAATTTTTTGAATTTTATCTGATCCACTGTTCCTTTCATCACGTCAGGAATAAGAGCAATCCCATTTTCTTGTGCTTTGTAGCAATTAATTTCTGCGGTTGCAATTACTCCAGTACTTGATGAAACCAAGTTATCTAATTGTAAGAATGGAGGATGATTTTCTAGCCATTCTAGTAAAACTTTCATATCTTTCTCATCTTTTTGAATGCGCGAATTACCAGCATCTTTATGCTGATGCGATGTTCCGTCCATCTTGAAGTTGCAAAAGTTTTCTAACCGTTCAGCGAGGACTATTTGCAGGGGGATAGTTGTTATCCATCGTGCAGTAGTAGCAGGACTGATTCCACGACCATGCGTTTGGCCTCCTCTTGAATTAATGTTTCTCATGTAGGTTTGCTCAATTGTCATGTTAGACCAAATACCCGAGTAGAACTTGTTGGACCTTCGTATGGTAAAATATCCCATGTTGGTATATAGATGATAATTATGGGTATTTAATTTTGCGGATATTTCATGCGTATCTTGAAGATACGGGTCAGAACATTTAGCATAGTTGAAGTGTCCGACAGTTATAAAAAATTGAATCTTTTTTTGTGAAAAATCCAAATGTAGTTTTCAATCACCACATTTCTCAGCAAAAATGAATTGAAATAAAATAGAAACCATTTCGAAAAAATTGAACATACAGCTTTGCTATTGGACCGTTCTCCTTTAAACCTCCCATTTTTTTATTGAATTTTTGTTGAAAGAAGTCAATTTTACCATCTGTAAGATCGTTTTCAGTAACATTTTCGAGTAGGCATAAATCATTCAATATTTGTTGTTCTTCATCAGAAAATTGTAAATCTTCCAAAATAAGCAAAGCAAGGGCAAGACGGATTAACGAATGGCAGCGTATTGCTCGAGCATAAGCCTTTCCAGATAACATTTTTTCAACCGATCCTTGAGCATAAATAAGACTACATATATCTTCGAGACCACCACCAGCCATAATATATCCAATACAACCAAGAAATGACATAGCTAGATGAAAACCTCTGAGTTTGACAACCACGTTTCTCATATTTGAAGCGTTACTGCACAAAGTAACAATGACTCTTGCTTTGATGTATAATGGTAAATTGAAAGTCACAATAAAAAAATCTTGACCTGACTCGTTCGATTTGCTGACGGCCATTTTCAAAGAAGTATAAATTATGTCATAGTCGCTCGGATTTCCATCAATAATGGGTAGATAAATGATTTGTGAAACATCAAATATCTAATTCTTGGTAAATGATTCATAATAACCATTCCATCCTAATAGTTATTTATGTGTCAAAGGTACTAAGTAGAGGTAGACGAACTGTGATTTCACTTCCCAAAACGATTCCCGAAGAGAAAAAATTTGATGGGATTTCTTCAGATCATGGCCCTATTAGAAACCCTAATAACAAAATATTCATCTTAAAATATGTTGCCATCCATAATTCTCACTTATACAAATAGCAAAGATCCAGCAGGGATCATTGGACAGTCAAACTCCACCATATTATAAAGTGGTACAAAACTTAAAAAATATCTAAGGTTTGAAAAATGCTAGGACTCATCAATTGTTAGAAACAGGATGTGAATCTTACGACCTACCACTAGGTAGGTCGTGATACACATCAAATATTCCAACCATTTTTTAGAACTATTTATGGAACAATAAAAGTCTGTATGTATATATATTTTTAGGCACCACCCTCAAAAAAATGATGGAACACGATCTGCAAAAAAATCTGGAAGAATACGAAATAATCTCAACGTGTGCCACCAAAGAACAACAACTACTCGACAACCTAAACGTGTTGAAAGCCAAATGGGACGATATCCATTTCGTCATAGATAAAAACAAAGACAACATCTGGATTTTGATTCAATTAGAAGAGGTTCAAACAATCGTCGACGAACACATGATCAAAATCCTAACAATGCGCAGTTCGGTGTTTGTAAAACCTTACGAAACAGAAGTTTCAGGTTTTTACGACACAATTCTGAAAATCCTGTCAGTGTTAAACGATTGGAACATTTTACAAAACGCATATTTGAAATTATTTCCAATATTTGCCATTGAAGATGTTATTCATCACGTCCCTAACGAGCAAAAACACTTCAAAAATTGCGACTTGGTTTTTCTAAAATATACAAGATTTATAAAAGAAAACTCTAAAGTCATCGATTTGGTCTCTAAAACTGATATTGTGGAAGATTTAAAGCAATCGCTTAGTATTCTGGAAATAGTGCAAAAAGGTGTGGACGCTTATTTGGAAATTACCAGACTTAGATGTCCAAGACTGTATTTGATTTCTAATGAGGAGCTCATCAATCTTACGGCTAGTAATAGTGACTTTTCCGATGAAAGGATTTTCGTTAGGATTTTTCCTGGAATTAAACGAGTGAAGTTTATTAACAAACACATTACATCAATTTTTAGTGCATCCAATGAAGAAGTCGTATTGAAAAATCCCATTAATTTATCTCTCCATAAAAATGTGGATGAGATTGTGTCAAAATTGCAAGAAGAAATGTTATTTATTATGAAATATAGAACAGCCGATTGTTATAAAGTTTTCAAAAAAACTTCAATGAAAAATTTATTGAAGAAATACCCTCAACAAAGCTTACAAATAATGGCCCGTGTATTCTGGACAGATCAAGTTGAAAATGCCCTAAAACTATCCCACAATATCAGATTATTAATTTGCAAAAGCAAATTGGAAGCAAGTATTGAAGAAAAAATTGATATTATTAATAGAAATCAGATATCTAACTTGGAACGTATAGTTATAAAAAATCTGTTACTTACTGATTTAAATAATCAATATTTGTTAAGTTCTTTTGTTAAAGATGGATTGGTTATCGATGATAATCACTTCGAGTGGCAAGTGCAACTTAGGTACTATTTTGAAAAATCCTTATGCTCAATTAAAATATTGAATCACAGTTTAGATTATAGTTACGAATACTTGGGCAATACGGACCAACTCGTCTTAACACCATTAACCGACAGATGCATTATCACTTTATTAAATGCATATTTTTTCAATTTTTACGGTCTACTTACAGGAGATGGACAAACTGGAAAAAGTGTTACATTGAAATATCTAGCAGACGCTTTGGGGAAATTGTTTTCTTCTTTTAGTTGCATTTCTGAGTTCACTTCCTCAGCTTTATTGCAATTACTTAAAGGCACTTTTTTGTGTGGTTCTTGGATGTGCCTACAAAATATCGATCAGCTTCAAGTGGAAGTGCTTTCAGTGATTTCGCAAGAGTTGCTACAAATAATTGACTGCAAGAAAAATCGATCTAAAGAGATATTTTTTGAAGGTATTAAATTGCCTTTTGATCAAACTTGTTTCATTTTTGTGCAACTTTCCAGTGAAGCTGCTAGGAGGGTTAAATTCCCAGAAAATTTTAAGTCAATGTTTAGAAGTTTTACTTTATGTCAGCCCGATTTGGAAGTGATTATTCAAAGTTTATTAGCTTGTCAGGGAATTGAGAACTATAAGAGTTTTTCTAAAATAATTCAAGAGTGTTGCACACTTTTAGAAGATATTTTAGGCTTTCAAAAACATTATGTTTTTAAATTAAGAGAAATTAAGCAGGTTTTGAGGTTTTTCGAGAAAAATAAGAGTTCAGATAAGCATTTCTTGACGATACTTTGTAATAGTTTTCGTAATGCTTTATTGCCAAGACTTTTGGATAAGGATTATAAAATTTTTGAAGACACACTTTCTGATGTTTTTCAAGCATACTATGAACCAACAACTCATTTAGAAAATAAGGATATTGAACAAACACTGGCAAATCTAAACTTAAATCGCAATCTCTACATGGATAATAAATTTATTAATAAACTCATGGATGTTTATAATACAATGAATTTCAATACTGGACGCAATGTTATCCTTTTAGGTGACACTTACACTGGCAAGACAACCATTTTGAAACTATGCGCTCAGTTATTTGAACCTCTCAACATAAAATTGCACATTATAAATCCAAAATGCATCACTCATAGGAATTTAATTGGTGAAACATCAACGAACAAAAACGTAAGATGGTCTGATGGAATTTTGCTTAAAATTCTCATAGAAGCAGGAAATGATGAGAATAATTTGAATAAATATTGGATATTGTTTGATGGCTACGTAGATGAAATATGGACCAAAGATTTTTTGAGCGTCTTGGAAAGTGGAAAGCTATTTTTAGAATCATTGGAAACGATAATGTTTGGAGAACGGACAACTTTGATATTTGAAACGGCAGATTTGGATCATTCAAGTCCAGCAATGGTAAGATTTTTTTTTTTTGGTTTGTAACTACTTGAAATAACAATTTAGCTATTCTACAGGGTTTAAATTTTTGGGAAGGCAAATTGAAAAACGCTTTGAGATTTTTTTTTTTTGGAACCTCCTAGCTACTTTTTTGGATATGAAATGGTACGTTCTGTAGCACCACCTCCGTGAACCGTGATAACAGGGTATTGCCATGAAAGGGTGTAACCCCTTTTGTTAATGAATTAATTAGGGGTCTATAATATGCTCAGTTAGCTCAGCGAAAAAAATATTAGGTGTGGGTTGATAGTTCATTCAGTACAGAATGGCGAGGGCGCCACTGAATTTAATTTTTTTTTATAAAACTGCACAAAATATGGAAGTGTGAAAATTCAGAAACACACCTAGAAAATAATTAGCTAACGATAATTAATAATCCTGAAAAAAAAATAATAATGCACACAACTCAACTGTCGACCTATAAAACAATTAATTAAAATTTCAAATCAAAACAGTGTTTAATTCACAGTTAGTAAACAATCCAGTATCGGTCTATTCCAAAATGTAAGAACAACTACTGTTGGTAAGACACAGTACACTTAATCAAAAAATAAAAGAATAATAATAATAATGATAATATTAGCATAACAACAAATTGTACCTTAATATACTTGCCTCATAAATTCAATAACATTAGTTACCAATACTATCAATTTGAGAGGAAAATATAAAGATTTACGTTTCCGGAAAGCTAATAACAAAAATTGAACGATTAAAAAAATTCGATCAATGAATATGGTGAATCTCTGCAAAAAAATAGATTTAAAAAAACAAGTTGTACCTGTAAAAAAAATCAAAGGTTGGATTACATGCCAAATGGTCGACTCAAAGGAAATCCTCCGCTATATAGGTTATAAGAGCCCTGGTTTAGGGATGCGCAAAATTTTGAAAACATCGATGTTGACATCAAATGATACATCGAATATGCACAATCGATGTTGTAAAAACATCGGCTTGAAAATATCGATGTTTCTAAACATCGATGTTTTTGAAAATATGGCAAGAAAAAATTGAACTGTTAATAAATAGAATATCATTTTCACTTAACCTACTTTATGTATTTTTAATATAATATACATACACGTAATAAATATGCGATTTTTAATGAAGAAAAAGTACATTTGAAAGCAAACAATAGCAAGAACTAAGCACTAGGGAGTAAATCTAGTTAGATACTTGACTTATAAGTCATATGAATACGAGTAACAATCATATTTGAATCACAATTATTATCCATGAACAGCAATTTTGACTATTTTGTTCCTTTTCCATATAATTCTTGTGTTGTGTCAAAATTTGTCCTGCATTTGAAAATAGTCTCCCATATGGAACAAGTATGGAACCGAAACTGCTACCTGCTACAACGCTCAAGTATTTTGAAGCTATCTTTGATAGTCGCAGACTCGGTCGCAGATATACACTCTTTATTTCTTGTTCTTCCCAATGTCCAACAAATAGATTTTCATCAAATTTTGCTAAGGGACTGAAAGTACTGGTGTAGTATTTAGAAGAAAACATCGAAAGAACATCGCAAAAAAAATATCGATATTCTCTAAAAATATCGAATAAAAAAACATCGATATAAACATCGAACATCGAAATAGGAAAATCGATGTTTTTGAAACATCGATACATCGTGCGCATCCCTACCCTGGTTAAAAATTGATCAATTTTCGACGGCAAACTATTATCTAAGAATTCAAATTCAGAACACATTATTCTCCAACCTTGACCCTTATTCAGATTACTTATTTATAAAATTAATAATATTTAGGGCAACATTAGAAGTTATGCTAACATAATAAAATTAATAATAAAGAACCAATTTTTCCTTCGCCATGGTGTCAAGAATAAATTTGTAAATTTATAAAAAATTATCATAGCTTTGTTAATAGACTGTAAAAATAGTAAAAATGATTTTATAAAAAAAAGAAAGAAAGTTAAGAGTTATTATTGAAACTTATACAAGCCTCCATCCCAATATAAGGCATATCTGGAAACCATCCATTCTCGTCTCTCGATATCTGGACGAAAGGGGCCACACATGGAACTAGTGGATTCCAGCCCAGATTCCGGGCAGAAAAGGGACTATAATCGGCGTCAAAGATGCAGCACACGTATTGTCCTTTGGGGTCTTGATTCTAGTAGGGTAGGAAGCCCTTCAAAGGCTCAATATCAAGATCCACGGAAATGGTGTTGATTTAAAAATGGGGCCTTTTTTTGGAATGGACTTGTTGGGTAAAGTCAGCCGTTTGAAAGACCCTAAGTAATAATGCATTCCGTGGAAAGCCATTACTTATAAAACTTGAAAGAACTTACCACGTTTTTGAGTGGGAATTCAAACTTGAATAAAATCGTAATCACGAGACTTTTTGATCCGAATTTTTCTTAAATCGACAGATTATTGCCACACGCAACTTTAATTCGTTAAATAGGGCAACGCCCAAAGGCCGGTAAGATATTTTTTTTGATCAGCACTTTCAGTCAACCGCACTGTTCAACGAGACAATTTCAAAGGGACGAGAATCAATTTCCCACGGGCCAGGTAAGCACAAATACCGCGTTTCCTCTCGAGATAGCTAACGGAAATTGTTGGTACTAACCGGGATTTAAATTTAAAAGAAAATTGCGCCCTCTAGTGTAATAATTTAATAATTGCTATATTAATAAATAGCGGGAACCCTTTAATTTTAAATGTTATTCAACATTTAAAAGGATTAAAGGTTAAATTTGAAAGAAAAAAGGACAAGTAACTTTGAACGTTACACTGCCCTCCTTCAAAAAAAGAAAAAAAATATACGAAGTGTATATTTTTGTTTTGTGATAAACTTAAAAACTAGATAAGGTAGAAATAGATAGAAAAGATAGACAGAAGGAAGAAAAGGAAAGTTGAAAGCGGTTGTCAAGTATTTTAGGCTGATAACTAACGTGTATCACTCGTCCTTATGGGAATCATTATTGAAAGGTCGCAATTGAAATAAAAGAAAGTCATAATAAGTAAAAAGTCATAATAGGTAAAGTCTGTGTTATTAAAAAGATAAAAGTCAAAATGACATTATATTGGCAATACAATAATGTAAAATTGTCAATGCTTTCAGATTTTTTATGTAGAGAGGCTTATGTTGCCAACATAGTTACTAAATTTTTGACTTGGGGAATTATCTTTAAAAAAAAACAGACTTTAAAAAGTTATAATTGGTTATGGTAATAAAAAAAACTTGACGGAACTTTCAACTTTGTTTACCATTATTTTGCCATAAACATAAAGAAGAGAAACGATACAAAACAACTACACAGGGAAAGACCCCATTCAGTGAAAAGATGAAACGCCAATTTATACCTCGACGATAATTCATTCTGGGCAGAGTTCCCGGAGAGGAAGTAAGAGAGACCTTTCATCCCTTGTATATGAATGGGGATCAGCCGCCATATACAAGTTATCCGTAAAAAGGCTCAATCAAGAAAGGATAGAAAAGAAATCAGTGTGTGGACGAACACACCTAGGAATGTGATTATCCCAAGAATGGCTCTTTCCATTGAAATCACCGTTATTCCTCAAGGAACTATCCAACTCTAACTCCTCCCACCAAGCCTGTGTCAATAAGGTGGTGGCAGCAGCCTGTCCAATTGATTCACACAGTAACCTCACCCCGGAGCAAAGTGAGTAGTCAAATCGATAATCAAAATTGATTAATGGATAATTAATCCAAAATTTTGGGTTTTGGTTGTTCTTCAGCAAAGACAAAGTCGTCACTGAAGAAAAGTAATTCGGCCCGCAACTATTCCCTAGTACAAACATATTGTAACCAATTGTTTAATTAAACAATATTATTGTTTGTATTAGGCCATTGTTTCAAGCCACAGCGGTAACGGCCTTGGTAATAGCAAAATAAAGGTAAGATAAGAAAGAGAGATATAGAGAAACATAGAGACAGAGAAAAGTAATCAATAAAGATACACGGTAAAAATTCCCAGGAGACCTCATGTCGATAATGGCTGATATTAAAAGCTGACTCAAGAAGTTCTATTGGCAGATATTAAAGAGGTAATATAAACGGTATTAACGATATTATTGGTATTAAGTTATTCGATAGAAAATATAATTGAGAAATAAGATAAAACAATTAGCAAACTACCTGACAAAAAAATGAACCCTAAGGTTATGAAATTGATAGATGAACTGAGTCCCAGAAACTTATTAAAATTGGTACGATATTTTGAAAAACAAAAACTCACTCCACAGATAAATCTGAGTTAGAGCCAAGGTACTTTTTTAAGTCTTTTATATGCCAGTTACCTAAATTTTTACCTGTAGAATCGGCCAAAGAATAGACTAAAGGAGAAATACGCTTTTTGACTGTACACAAGATGTATTTGGGAGCAAGCTTTGCGGAAAACTTTTTAGAAGCATCGGAAAGAACTTTGTTGCGTCACCAGACCTTATCACCTACGTTAAAGACAGCGTCTCGTCTTCTCAAATTAGAGGTATGGGTTATTCTTTGGTAAGCGGTATGTAGTTTTTTCCCAACTTCAGTAAATATGTCAGATAAATTTCTGATATTCTTAGTATAATTATCAGGGATTCCTGGAGAAATTTCGAGGTCTTCAGAAGAAATAACATCACCATAATAACGTCCAGAAAGGGGTATATGACGAGCAAAGTTAAGGAAAGCAGGGGTGTATCCGGTAATCTCATGACTCGCAGTGTTCAAAGCATGTTGAAGTTTTGGTAGTTCTTTGTCCCAATCCTTGTGATGATCTTTTATGTAGCAACGAATTCCAGTTCCAATTGTTCGATTTGACGCTCAACGAAATTAACTTGAGGAGAATAAAAGGAAGTATACCATACTTTTTGAACTTGATACGTATTTGCTAAGTCTTTAAAAGTATTAGCCACAAGATTGGAAACATTATCACAGATGATATATTGTGGAGCTCCAAATTTAAGCAACACCTCGTTTTCCAGAAATTTAACAATATTTGGTGAGCCAGTCACAGACGACGAGGAGGTAAAAATTGTTTTTGGGTGATCTCGGACCCATTAAATCTACGGCAATGATTTGCCAAAGAAACTGAACGGATTTTGTATTCCCTATTAATCCTGATGGAGGAAGATTAGATACCTTCTGACACAGACATGACAAGTTCTTACAAAAGATAGGATATGCGGCGGTAGGAGGATTGTGACAATCTTGGATAGTCTGTTTCTGAAGATATTTAGGGACTACTATTTTCCACTCTCTAGTGTTGGATTTGACAGGGACAGAAGACTTAAGAAAATTAATTTGTAAATAATACCGTTTTGAACTTTAAAGTGAGGAAAATGATCGGGAGATTGAATAATTTTTTCTCTAAAGGAGACATACCAATGGTCAAGATTTTCGGGAACTATATCGATAAGGGCAACCTCTGGAAGACACTCTGGGATACGAGATAAGGCATCAGGCACAATATTGTTTCTACCTTTACGGTGAACCAAATCAAAAGTATGAGCCCAACGTGCAAGTTTTCTTGTGAGATTTTTAAGATTATTAAGCCATAACAATGCTCGACAATCAGTGACAACCGTAAACTTAACCCCTTCAATGTAACCTCTAAAACGATCGATATTAAATAAGACAGCCAGACATTCCTTCTGAGTTGCACTCATGTTTCGTTCCGCTTTAGTGGGAGACCTACTAGCATATGCTATTACTCTTTCGACACCACCAATGATTTGGATGAGGACACCTCCCAATCCAACATCACTGGCATCACTCTGAATAGTAAAGAGTAAAGAAAAGTCAGGTTGACTCAAGACAGGTGCGGAAACGAGAGCCTGTTTGACTTGAAGAAAAGCCTTCTCGGCATGAGGAATCCATTGTATAGGTTGATTCTTCTTTTTACCTTTTAAGAGATCGCGAATGGGAGCCATTAAGGAAGAATAGTCCTTCAATAATCTTCAATACCAACCACATAAACCGGAAAATCTTTTTAATTGAGTGGTATTGGTTGGTCAGGGATAGTTAATCATAACGGAATTTTTTTCAGGATCTGTTCGCAAACCATCTGATCCGACAATATACCCGAGAAACTTGAGAGATGTTTTGAAGAACTCACATTTATCGACATTTATTGTTAAATTAGCATCTTTTAAGATGTCTTTAACTTCAGAAAGTAACTTAACATGTGGAAGAAATTATTACAATGTCGTCAAGGTAACAAAAGATATTGGGCTCATAACGAGGACCAAATAAACTGTCCACAAGTCTCTGTTGAACTTGGGCACTATTGCACAAACCGAAAGGAAGAGAAGTGAATTGAAATAATCCACGACCCATGATAGAAAAAGCTGTTTTCTCTCGAGAATCTTCATCAAGAGGAATTTGCCAGAAAGCTTTACGGAGATCTACAGAAGATATAAAGCTTGCACCACGCAACATGCTGAGAATTCGGTCTATATTAGGTAAAGGATAGCTATCATGTTACGTTTGCTCATTCAAGAATCGATCATCAAAACAAAATCTCATTTCACCATTGGTTTTTTTCACGAGAAGAACAGGAGAAGAATATGGGCTTTTCGAAGGTTCAACGACACCTAATTTAAGCATATCGTCAAGCTCTTGATTTAAAATTTTCAACATGTATGGTGACATGGGATACTGCTTTCTCTTATAAGGTTTGGCGTCACCAGTATCAATTTTCATGGAAATTTTATTTGTTCTGCCAATTTGAGTGTCGCTAGATATTTCACGAAAAGAATCCAAAACTGAATGACCAAGGGTACGCTGGTTATCTGACAAATCATCTAAGGTAAAAAGTGAGGTAAAATCATAATTATAATTTTGAAAATCAAAGGTAGAAGTATTTTGGGAAAACCGGGTATTTTTACTGAAATCCACTATTAATGAAAATTGTCTGGCAAAATCGCTACCAAAAATAAAACTGTGTACCAGGGATGGTACCACTAAAGCTTTTAAGACTTGACAAGTATCATTAGGGTAAATAGGTAAATCAATAATACCGCTAACTTTCTGTTGTGTGCCATCAGCTACAGCTACAGACTTAATGGAAGAAGGATTTATGACGATATCGGGATTTTTGAGAAACTTTAGAAATCGTTGCGCCACTATCAAATAATCCTACAACTTCAAAATCAAATATATTAACCTTTATATAAGGTCGATTGTCGAGAGTTCGGGGCACAAAGACAGGAGCTAGTTCAGCGGTATGGGAAAAGGTACCTATCGAAAAAGATACAAGATAGTTCTCACCAGAATTTAGTTTTTTGGATTGCAAGTAGGACACGTTTTCACGGTTACATCTGCTAAACCACAACGAAAACAATATTTCTTTCTCTGGCGACGACTATCAAAGTAAAAATGACGAGAGCGTGGCGGGAGTTAAAATGAGAATTGTTCTGAGTGGTAGTTTGAGAATTTCGAGCTGAAGGCTGAGAATTATTTCTGGAAGGTTGTGAGTTACGGGAAAAACTAGGACTTTGAGAACTACTCGGAACTGCAGAGTTCTGAGGATTATTTCTAGCGAAATGACTATTTGCAAAAACCTGATTACTAAGGAATTGTTTATGCTTCACTAAATTGGCTTCCTCCAACTTTTTAACTAGAATAATGAGTTCATTAACGGAATTTATTTCTGAAGAACCAAAACAGAGAAGTATTGTATATCTTAGTTGGTTCGACAGGTGGACGTGATAGATGAGAAAAGAGACTCTCCATTTGAGATGCGAAAATAGAAATGGTTTCAAATTTTCTCTGCTTTCTGGTTTTAATTTGTTCCCATATTTCATCGTCACAATTTGGAGGAAGGAATCCAATTTAATTCTATGGGTCAATTCGTCCCAGGTACTGACTGAAGTTTTGACATTTCTAAACCACATAAGGCCATCACCAGAAAATAATAAAGTGGCAGACTTGAAAAGTTGTTCTTCTGTAACCTCATACGCGGCAGCAAGCTCAGGCACTCTCTCAAGAAAATCATATACTCTTCTGGAATCTCCAGTGAACTTTAAGTTCCATGCGGGAATGAAATTTTTGTTATTAGAACAAGATAAGGTAGCGGGAAACACAGAAACATTTGCTTGGGGAGCCAAGGTAGAGTTAGCGAGAGCGGGTGGAGCTTGAGTGCTCTGAAATTGATTCACTCTTTCATGAGTGTCAACATCGAGAGGAAGACAACGGACATATGCTTCATGTTTAGATTTCTCAACATCGTCTCTAGTGTCATCCTCAGGGATGATTATCCTTTGGATTCGTGACAAAGCATGTGCGAGACGGGCTTTGATTCTGAGAAATAGTGTATCAGAAGGATTGCCTTCAAAGTCAGCAACCAAGGTAGTGACGCTGTCAATTGTGGAATCAATTTCTTGACACTCGGTGGGGAACTCAAAGATAAATTTATAGACACCAACATTTGTATTAAAGGCGCTTTAAAAGTCTTATTTTCTCACGACGGACGTCCACAGTTATCAAGGACTCCACTAAACTTCAGCTCATAATCAATTTCGGACACAAGTAAATGCCGGGGGCTAAGAATCTGCCATATTTGATTACTTTTACTAATTGAAGGTATAGGAAAATAGGTTACTGTCAAAATTAATTAATTCGAAATCACCCAAGTAATAGCGGTACACCCAAAGTCAAGTTATAGTTGAGTTATGCCAGGAGAAAAGATGAAAGATAATACCAAACTGTACAATATTTAATTGATGTTATTATTTAGGATGTTTAGAGGCCCCTTAAGTTGGGCGCTAATTTATGTAACCCCTTTTGTTGATGAATTAACCAGAAGCCCATAATATGCTCGGTTTGCTCAGCAAAAAAAAATTAGGTGTGGGTCAATAGTTTAATAAGTACAGTATGGCAAGGGCGCCACTGAATTTTAAAAAAAATTAATAAAATTGCATAAAATATGGAAGTGTGAAAATTCAAAAATACACCTACAAAATAATTAGCAACCGATAACTGGTAATCCTAAAAAAAAGACAAATAATGCACACAACTCAACTCTCGACCTATATGGGGGTCTTGATTCTAGTAGGGTAGAAAGCCCTTCAAAGGCTCAATGTCCAAGCTCCACGGAAATGGTGTTGATTTGAAGATGTGGCCTTTTTGGAATGGACTTGTTGGGAAAATCGGCCGTCCGAAAGATCCCAAAAAGGGGCGAGAATCGATTTCATACGGGCCAGGTAAGTACGGATACAGCGCTTCCTCTCCAGATAGTCACGGAAATTGTTGGTACTAACCGGTGTGTCAAATTTAAATGAAAATTGCGCCCTCTAGTGTAATAATTTAATAATTGCTATATAATAAATATCGGGAACCCTGTTTTTTTTTAAATGCTATCCAACATTAAAAAGGGTTGTATAAAGTTAAATTTGAAAGAAAAAAGGACAAATAACTTTAAACGTTACAGAACCAAACACATATAAATTTCAGAAACAGGGACAGTTTTTGATAGAAACGTCAAATTGCACGTTACTTTCTTGAGAGTGCACAGCCGGTTTTTTCTCAAAAAAATGACGAGCTTGGGTACTAGTATTTTATTCTTGCATAAAAATACAATAAAGATGATTTTATTTATTTTTATTTCATCAGATATAAATTCAATTCAAGAAGTTGCCCTAACACCTTGGTATTTTTTTCCAGATTTCTCGTTGTACAACAATCTACTTTCCTCGTCGACTCCTGAACGACACTTCGCTAATCGAAACCTGGCTGAACACCTGCAAATCTGACTGGCTAATCGACCATAAATCCCAAATTGAAGCCTTACTTAAATGGTTGGTCCCGCCATGTTTGGAAGAAATCGAGCATTTACCAAAGTATTGCGATATTGACGATAATAGCCTCACAAAAAACGCTATGACCTATTTCCAGTTGATTCTGGACGATGCTTGTTCGAAAATTAACAGAAAAGACGAAGACCCGAAAAACATGGTCTCGTGGATACACGCCACATTAATTCAAGCAGGTATTTGCGCATTTCCCAGTGTTTTAACTCATCAATCTCGTCAAAAATTTGACGAATTTTATAAACAACTTTGGAAGGGACAAATTCACCCTTATCCAAACTGTTTGGAAAGACTTGAAGTTAGTATACCGACTGAAGGCTTTTTATTTGACTATTGTTATCTTTATAAGCAAAGAGGTACTTGGAAGCAGTGGTCGGATTTACTTAAAAACGAAAAACTAATTGAAAATCAATATTTAAGTAGTTGCATCGTACCAACAGTAGACACTATGAGGTGTAACTTTTTATTAGACTTGCATATTAAATATAAAAAGCAATTTTTAATAAATGGCCCTAAAGGTACAGGCAAATCTATAGCTCTCAGAGATTGCTACATCAATAGATTACCAGACAGGGAATTTGAAAAAGGCCTTATAACAATCAACAGACATTTAACTGGTAATAGCTTACAAAAATTATTACTGTCAAAATTGAGTAAAGGCAGATCAGGGGATTATTCTGCAACCTCGAACAAGCGCTTCATATGTTTTATAGATGATCTTCAATATGCTGCTAAAGATCGAAATAACATTTCAAGCGTCATCGAGCTTATTCGTCAACATTTAGACCATAATTTGTGGTATGATTTGAAAACATTAACAAACATTTCTCTAGAAAAAATAAATTTTGTCGCCTCAGTGGGTTTTGCAGGCGACAAACCCCCGCCAAAAAGATTCATGCGACATTTCACCGTACTAGGAGTAAACGAGTTTTCACATGAGAGCATCACAAAAATTTACTCCCAAAACTTAATGCAGCTATGGAAAAAGTCTGGATTTCCTAGTGACATGATAACGGTGGTTAATCAAATTGTAAACGCTTCGTTACAGACTTATTTACATGTCCTGCAAAATATGAAAGCCACTTTGAATAAGAGCCATTATGTGTTTGATATTTTCAGCTTATCCAAAGTGATTCACGGTTGTTCTTTTTTGAAAAAGGAAACTTACGACAGCAACAAGAAGATTTACATTAAATTGTGGGTGCACGAGATTTTCAGAATTTATTCTGATAGATTGTTTATAGAAGATATTAGGAATTTGACTATGTATTTGAAAGAGGCTATTGTGGAACATTTTTCTCCGGAAGAATTGAGTGATATTTTTCCTAACTACGATGATCCAATGCCATTTTCTAAAGTTTTCTTTGGCACTTTTCCCGATAAGGATTTAGATATAAGCCATAGACATTATGATGAAATTAACTTTCAACATTTAAAAGACTTGTGCTTGCAAAATCTGCAAGACTTCAATGGAAAATATCGTTTTAAGCTTGACTTAATATTTTTCAATTATTCACTTGAAAAATTAGCAAGAATATGTCGTATATTATCAATACCTAATGAAAACGCTTTATTACTTGGCGTTACTGGATGTGGTAGGCAATCTCTAGTTAAATTTGCTAGTTTTTTTTATAAGCATGATTATTTCCAGGCAGTTATTACTAGAGATTATAATATGAAAAGTTGGGCTAGTGATTTTAAGCATGTCTTGAAGCTTTGTGGTGGACTGAATACAAAATGCACTTTTTTTGTGTCTGAGGATCAGTTGATAAACGAGAACTTTTTTGAAATAATTGATCATTACATTAGAGATGGTGAAGCTACTGATTTATATGACATAGACGAAAAACAGGATGTTTTAGAGCTATCCAGACTTGCCGCGCAAGGAGGCAATAGAAATCTCGACATAAGTACTCACAAGGTATTTCTCTATTTCAACAAAAAATGTCGCGAAAATTTCCATCTATTTCTATCGCTAAACTCTACTACAGATAATTTGAGAAGAAGAATTTTAAAGTATCCTGCCTTAGTTTCAAGGCTAACTATAATTTTTTGGAAAGACTGGCCCGATGATGCGTTGCAAAGCGTTGCCAAATACTGGATGAAAAGTTTGGATTTAGATGCAGACATCAAAGAGAAAACTATCTCAGCTGCAATTTATTTCCACAGAATATCACAAACTGTAAAATCAATATCAGTAACACCAAAGTCCTATATTCATTTGAACAAACTGTTCGTTGACTTGGTCTCCAAAAAACAAAACTCCCTAACAATTAAAATGAAAAGATTCCAACAAGGTTTGTCCAAGCTCTCATACGCAGCCACTCAAATATCTAACATGCAAAAAGCCTTAGCCGAATATCAGCCTTTATTAGAAGAAATGACCAAAAATGCCATTGAAATGACTGAACAAATAGCCTTGGAAACTATTCAGGTTGAAAAAGCTTCAGCTCTAGTTAGAAAAGATGAAAAAATTGCTAGTGAGCAAGCGGTTGTAGCGCAAGTTTTAAAATCTGAATGCGAAGCTGAACTGGCTCAAGCAATACCTATTTTAGAAGACGCCATCTCGGCTCTAAATACCCTTAAACCCTCTGACATAACTTTAGTCAAGTCAATGAAAAATCCTCCGGATGCAATAAAACTTGTCATGGCTTCAGTTTGTGTCATAAAAGATGTTAAGCCTGACCGAATTCCTGATCCTAGTACTGGAAGAAAAACTATCGATTACTGGGGTCCTTCAAAGAGAATCTTAGGTGACATGAACTTTTTGCAAACCCTCAAAGACTTTGACAAGGACCACATCAAACCAGAAATAATGGTTAAAATAAGAAAAGAATATTTACCACACAAAGACTTCAAACCGCATGTAGTTGCAAAAGCTTCTAGCGCAGCTGAGGGACTTTGCAAATGGATTATAGCAATGGACATGTACGATAGAGTTGCTAAGGAAGTGGCCCCCAAAAAGGAAAAATTGAATAAGGCTGAAAGAGAGTATGCAGAAACTATGTTGATTTTGAACGAAAAAAAAGAAGAGGTTGTTAGAATTGAAGTTAAACTAGCTCAGCTTAAGGCCCTTTTAACTGAAGCTACAAAGAAGCAACTAAAACTGCAAGTTGAAGTTGATTTGTGTAATAAAAAGTTAAACAGTGCGCAAAAATTGATTGGAAGTTTAAGTGGAGAGAGGCAAAGATGGACCGAAGCCTCAGAAAATTTACAAAAACATTATGATGTATTAGCAGGTGATGTTTTAGTTTCCAGTGCCTTTGTAGCATATTTGCCATCATTAAATAATGCTGATAGAAATATTATATTAACGAAATGGAGAGATTATATTAAAGATAACAGTATACCGTGTACAGATAATTATGAGTTTGGTGCAGTTTTATCTGGTGAGGTTGAAATGGAACATTGGACCGAATTCAGTTTACCTTCGGATAGCTTTTTTATTGAAAATGGTATCATTTTCAATAACTCTAAATATTTTCGCTTATTATTGGATCCGCATGGAAAAGCTCTGGAATGGATAACGAACTTTGAAGATGGTAATAATATGATAATTACTAAATTTACTTTTGGGGATTGGTTACAAGACCTAAAATATTGTATTATTAATGGAAAACATATATTAATTAAAGATACTAAAGGATACATTCCGCCTTGTTTGAATTATTTAGTTTACGGACAAAGTTTTGTTAAGGAAAATGGAGATTTGTTTATTACAATTGATGGAGAGGATTTGAGAATGCACGAAAATTTTAAAATATACATTTTATGTTGTAAGCCAAATGTGTCTTATAGTGCTGAACAGAAAAGTAGGTTAACGTTGATTAATTTTTCATTGACTTCGAGCGCTCTGAAGGAAGATGTTTTGAGAATAGTGGTGGAAATTGAAAAACCAGAAATACGCAAATTATCCAAAGAGCTGGTGCAAAAAAATAAAGAAATTAAAGCTGAATTAAAGGAGCTCGAAGTGAAAATTTTAAATACTTTATGTGAAAGTCAGGCGGATATATTGGAAGACGAAGAAAGTATTCTTATATTGGATGAAACTAAAGAATTGACAAAAATTGCTTTGGAAAAAAAAGCGCAGACTATAAAGATTGCAGAAGCAATAGAAAGCTTCAAAGAGAAATACATCACAGTTGCAGAGCATGTGGCAGGTTTATTCTTTTGCATTGACAATCTTCAAAAATTACACCACCTCTACCAATTTTCACTGAAATGGTTCAAAAACACATATTTCATGTCCATCTTAAACGCGGGCAAATCAAGAGACTTAAAAATCCGCTGTCAAAATTTATGTGATACGTTCACCTATGATTTATATAAAAGCGTCAGCAAAGGGCTGTTTGAAAAGGATAAAACTTTATTCACTTTTTGGCTTGCCATTGAAATGGCTGCCAGCAAAAACTTGATAACGAAAGAAGAAATTATGATGTTTTTTAACGTGGATCAATTCAAAGTTGCTATCGATAAAAACAGTAAACCTGAATGGGTTTCAGACGAGCAGTGGGCAAATTTACACAAAATTGAACAATTAGATGTATTTAAGGGTATTTTGAAGCATTTTAGAGAAGATGCTAATTGGCAAATATACCTTGAAACTTCATATTCACAGATACCACATAAAATGTATAAAAATTTTGCCAAACTAATCTTGATTCAAGCACTTAAACCTAACGAACTATACGCAGAACTAATATATTTCATTAAGGAAATTTTAGGCCAAAAATTCTTGATGCCAATGTTCTTTAACATACAAGAAGTTTACAATGAATCTTATAGTTTATCTCCGGTACTGTTTATCTCAACTCCTGGATTAAATGTTTTGAATATTTTATACAATTTTGCAAACACTAAGCAAGTTTTACATAAATTTCACCATTTAAGTTTGGATAATTGTAATTTGGAACAAGGTGAAAAATTAATTATGCAAGGCAAAAAGGAAGGCTGTTGGATTTTGCTTCAAAATTGCCAGTATACTAAAGAGTGGTTGTATCGGTTGGAGCAGAATCTACAAAATATGGATTATGATAATACGAACGAAAATTTTAGGTTGTTTCTGACCATCGATGAAGTTCATGAAATTCCTTTGGAACTTTTACAGAATTCTATTAAGATAATTGATGAATCCCCTGGTAGTTTACGTGAGAGTTTATTGAAAATTTATGAAAAACCTCCTATAATGATTGATGATTTTTTTTATGGATGTCCTGGACAACAAGAAGTATTTTCGAAATTACTGTACAGTTTATGTCATTTTCATTTTCTCATTCAAAAACGTCAGAAGTTTTCAAACTGGAATATACAGTATAAATTTGATGATTCTAATCTCATGTTATCTTTGGAGTTTTTAAGAAAGATTGTTAATGAACAAAGTTGCCTCTTTGAAAAAATTTATTATCTTATTGGAGAGTGTAATTACAACAGCTACTTGCACAACGAATGCGAAAAATCCTTCATCATTGAAATGTTGAAAGATTGCATAAATCCTAAAATGTTTGAAAAATATTCGGGCTTATTCAACAACGTCAAACAATATGAGTTGCCAACAAAAAACGACAAAAGAGACTATTTGAATCATATTTATAATTTGCCAGAGCAAGAACCTCCAGAAGTTTTGTATTTAACTGAAAGTGAAATGTTGGAGTATAATATAAATAGAACTAAGAGTTTTTTGACTTTGGGCTCAAAATTTGTTGAAACTAAAGAGGGATGTGTGTTGAGTAAAAACGAGTTCAAAATTTTATGTATCATTGATGATTTGTTAAATATATTTCCTGAAACTGTTAAAAATAATGAATGTAATATTGAATTCATTCTTACAGAAATAAGGCTTTATAATAGCCTTTTGAGAACTATAAAAAAAAGTTTGCGAAATTTGAAAGCAGCTTTTGGAGGCGATTGCAGTTTTGATACAGACCTTATAGATATGACTTCATCTTTGTCGCAAAATCAAATTCCAAAAATTTGGTTAAAGTATTGCTTTCCAACTTTGACAAATTTATCAAAATTCTCCGAAAACGTGTGTTATAACGTAAGTTACTTTGAACGATTTTGTGAAAACCCTAAGCGATTTTTGTTGGGGGCATTTTTCTTCCCTAAAGCAATTTTACCCCATTTTAAGCTAAACTTTGCAAGACAATCCAACATATCAGTTTGCAATATAGAATTTCAATGTATTAGTAAAGTGGAGGATGAAGACTATATTTTATTTGATGGATTATTTATGTTTGGTGCAAGGTACGACGGAAATGAAATTGTGGAGCTATTACCAAAGACATTTTATAGAGCATTAAATGCAATAGCGATAAAATGTACTAACAATAAAATAAATGACGCTAATAGATTAAAATGTTGTATTTTTAAAACTCGAGCATTTTCTGGAAACCGATTATGTTTACCAGGTACAGGGAATTTAATAGCAGATATTGTATTGAAATGTTCCAAAAGTAAAAGTTTTTGGATCAAACGAGGAGTGAGTATTGTTTGTGAAGTTTAGTGTTCAACGATTTAAAGAATATTCTTGTATCAATTTACTCAGACTTTTGTACAAATTTATTGTGGAATAAACCAGAATATATATATGTATTAATATTGTTTCATTCTACTACTATAATATGTTTTTTTTTTTATACGCGCATTGGTTCATGTCTGTTTAAAGTAGCCATTTTATATTAAATTTATTGTTTTAAATATAGATGAATCAACAAACTGCTGACGAACTATTCGCTATGGGAAGCCCAGAAGTTTCTATGGGTAAGTCAGAGTGTCGTTTCTCGTAATGTTTGTCCCATGAACAAAGGGCATATTTATCAGACTAACCGTTAACCGGTAATCTTGGGAAATTTTGGGACGTATCAACAATCGAAAACTTGCAGATTCGAGTTTTCATTTGCCAATTACCAAAACCTATTGATTTGCTCATAGGTGTTGAAATCGGTCTATCTGGGGGCATTATATTTGTACTCCAAACAGCCTCGACCAGTTTTCGGTAAAAGATATCTTATATAGGAAAAAGCAAAGTGCTAATTTTCATCCATCCCCTTGGAAGCTGCTGTAGCAAAACGCCCCAAGTACTCTATGTAATAAGTTAGATAGTAAATGGCGAGCGGTACATTGATGGTGTTTATTTCCTTGGAGCTGCTACCTATAAAATTGTGGAAGGGTCTATTTGCAAAAGAGAGAAACAAACTATTGAGTTTTACTACATTATATTTTATTATACATAAAACCAAAAATTTTTAATCAGCAAAATATCTTCCAATTCTGGCAGTCTCATCTATTTCTATAAATTCAATTACTTCACATCCGTTCAAAAATGTCATTATTACGGACCACTGAAATATCCATACTACTAAAGAAACGCCCTATTCCTACTATTCCTAATAACTTATAAGTTAACTCATTTCAACAGTTCCGATTCATTCCTATTAAACTACCCTTCACCTATTTCTATAAATTCTTTAAAATTTCTAAATCCTTTACTGACTGCTTATGAAAAACCCAAAATAACTACCTATTCGTTTATTAATATAGGTATTACTAACTTATTCTTATAAAACCTTACAATAATTTCTACATGAAATGTAAAACCCTAATTCAAAAGTTCGGCGCTTAAGATCATCAATGTTTCTTTAACAACAAATTTCAAATAAACCTTTCCAATACGTCTAATGATTATCGTCAGCAATTTAAATTCATGAAGAACAACAGTTCTTAAACTAACCACTCCATTACATTGAATGATTACCGTCAACAATCTCAATTCATGCACAAGTTTCTTTTCGAAACATCCCATTTCATTTAATTAGAACAATTACTATTTTCGCAATCCTGGCTAACATACAAAATTATTTAAATTCTTATTAGTTCGTTACTATAGCCCTTAAACTTCAATTGGACAATCCAATTCAAAATTCTTTAATAATCCCTACTCAAATCGAGACTTATTATGTTATGTTAAGTGCATTATAAATTCCCTTCATATTTTTTTTTGCAAAATTAAATTAGAATGTCATTATATCTGAAGGCAATTAAATTATGCGATAATGTTCCATTGATATTTCACTTTATAGTCATTCATCTTTTATAAAGTCAAAAGTTTTACTAGTAAAAATCACTCAAGTTTTAGGCATTGAAAGTCATTTGTTCATTCACTTCTTATCATTCAGAATCATTGATAAAAGTCAGAAAATTATTAACCACTAAAGTACTTACATTTAACTTTTCACACGTACAATTACTTAATTAATTACTCAAAATTTTTAGCTAGCACGCACATAAATGTTGACGAATTTAATTGTTCTTTCTTTCAAAATGTTCCGCTACTTTTTCAAAGTCTGTTACCGAGGCAATATAAGAAACATTCCGCGAATATTTTCTCGGACTAACACATTAGGTACCTACTGTAGATTTTAACTCAAACTGGACTGGACTGCTAACAACTGGCAACTGCCTTCCACTTCTAAAACCCTCTGTATTTATATTAATCGATCCCCCCAAAATTTCTTTGTCCATCTTAATTAAGTGGATGATGCAATCTCCTTTGTTATTTGTTAAAAAATCGAATAATTATGTCGCAATATCCTGATTTATCGGGGTCAATACATTGGTTCAAGAATGTGAGGATAACACAAAGAAACCGATAGAACACGTGAGCCATAAATCATGGATTTTAATTATATTGGCATCGCTTAAGAAAAGTTCATTGATTGGATGTTAGGATGACATCAAACGGGAGGAAATAATGTAATTTCGAATGTATTTGGGGTCACGTTAATTTATTCCATTTTCAATTTATCGATACTGATTTGAAATACCGGAAATTCAGTTTTTGATTATTTGATTATATTCAATTTTTACAGTAAATACATTGTAATTTACGGGTCTATTTTGCGGATCATTACACAGCAGTAAGCCAGTAAATTGTCACGTTCCGGTTAACGGTACATTAATTTGGTAGGTGTTACACCTACCAATTTCAATTTGATAAGGACGATAAGCACTAAACTACAGGTACATTAATGTTGAATTCCAGTTCCAGCGATTTTGAAAAATCAAACAAATCCAAAGATCCCTTTATAACGGCGAGGATATAAGAACTTTGTGGAAATGGCGATCTATAACAGCTTGGTATTTTTGCCCTTTCAAAAATCAATGCATTCATCTTTTTTTGAAATCGATACGCTAGCAACAGCAACCTTCAGATATTGAACGCTAGGAAAACGATTCTCGAAAAATGAGGAACTGTCTGAAAATATTTTGCTATTTTATAAAGGAAATTTTTAATATACGTCATCAAATGAATATAGATCGCCTACGCCGCCGCATTATATTGCTAAATGTTATATTCAAAAAAAGAAATTTCTAATCCTACAATTTCAGCAAATCTTAAAGTCGTTTTTGCTGCTAGCATGCGTGATGGGTGTGTGTCACTTCAGGTAACACATCTCTAAAGATTTTCAAGCGGTTCGTTATTTGGTTCATATATTTTTTTTGTTCTGTCTTTTAGTCTTTCCGTAATTCACTGGTTTTGACAAAATCATCTTAATATCGCTTTTAGCAACAGTGGTTCCTGACTCAGGCTCTCCGGAAGGACTGGAAGGAGTTTTATCGAGAGGTGTTTGTAGGTTATTTTTTGAGGTTCCTGGCTCAGCAGTCGCAGTTATCAATGAACTTGTATCTGGCCTATCTGTTACTGAGCTTGGTACAAGATCGATCTCTGATAAAACTGACCTATATGTAAGGGAAAATTCCACATTTTTTTAAAGGCAGATGTAATATTGACTGGGGGTTAAAGCTTCTTTATTGAAAGCTTCTCCCACACAGGTAGCAACTTCATAAATCCACAATGGTTTTCCCGGGTTCTGCATTAACCACCCATCTAGAGCATCATTGTCTTCTTCACCTTCTAGCCTGTTTCCGTCCACTACTGGACATAGGCCTCTTCCATCGGTTCCTGTCTTGGACCGTCAGGATCCAGTTTTCTCCAGCAATCCTTTGAATGTCATCACGCCACCTTGTTTGCGGTCTTCCAATGTTTCTTTTCCAATCTTGTGGCCTCCATTCCCTGAGTATTTTGGTCCATTTGTTATTAGCTCTGGCTACATGACCTGCCCAGCGCTACTTCAACCTTGTCGCCCGTAACACCGCATCGTCGACTTTTGTTCCCTGTCGAATGTCTTTATTTCGCACCCGATCTCTGAGGCTAATACCAAGCATTGCTCTTTCCATGACGCGCTGACAAACTCTCAGCTTGTTAGCACTTGCATGTTATAGTGACTGTCTCGAAACCATAAGTCGCTACTGATAATATACATGTGTTGTAGATATTACGTTTCAGACTTATCGAGACGTCCAGGTTTTCAAGAATATATAACCCAGTTTTGAGAAAGCTGCCCATGTACAAGACTTGTTCGGCGACTTATTTCAGCAGTTTGATTGTCTTTGCCGAGCTTAATGATATGGCCGAGATAGTTATATTCGTTCACCACTTCGAGAGTCTGATATTCAATAGTCACGTCGACATTGTTTGTGCTCATTATTTTAGTTTTCCGGATATTCATTGTCAGTGCTTTGGATATTTGTTGTAGTTTCTTTATCATAATGGATAATTACTGATGATCATATCGTCGGCAAGTCTCAGGTGGTTCAAGTGTTTTCCGTCAATTGAGATACCCTTGTCCTGCCATGGTAACTTTTTAAATATGTCCGCTAGGGCCAGTATAAACAGCTTAGGGGAGATTGTGTCGCCCTGTCTGACTCTTCTATTTAATAATATTTTCTCAGTGGTCAGTTCATCGTCGATTTTTACTTGCATTGTGGCATTTTCATATGCATGAATTATTTATTATTCTGATGTATTTAGAATCGATCCTCGCATTATGCATAGCATCTAAAACTGCCCATGTCTCAACAGAATCAAACGCCTTGTGATAATCGATAAAAGCCAGATATAAAGGAATGTTGTATTCTGTACACTTCTCGATCAAGGTTCGTATACTCTGTATGTGATCAATCGTGCTGAAGCCTTTCCGAAAATCTGCTTGCTCAACTGGCTGGTAGAAATCAAACTTAGCATTTAGTCTATTTGTGAGTATTTTCGTCTGCAGCCTATATAAGATAGACAGCAAACTAATAGGGCGGTAATTCTCCAGGTTAGTGGCATCTCCCTTCTTAAATATAATAGTAACTTCGGCGTTTTGCCAGGCTTCGGGGATTTTTTCTTCTTCTAGAAATTTATTTAGTATAATGAGGATGGCTTTTTCCAATGTCTTGTCGAAACAAAAGACTTCTCATAATTGTGCTCGACTATGCTCAGTGGTTCATTAGCTTGGGGTGGTCCTTGGTGTTGGTGCAGTAAAGAGAGGGCGCCACTAGTTTGTATAAAATTATTTTGATTATCAATGAATAGCCAAATTAGATACTATTCAAATAATTAGCTATTATTTAAAAAGATAAATTCAAAAATCTGAAAAGGTAAAATAAATCCAATACCTATATGACATTCAACCCCTTCAATAAAAACACAAGCTTGGGAATTCTAAAAACAATAATTTATTGACCAGATAACGAACTTATTGTTTATTAACAATTTGTTGACCGGATGGCGAACTTGTTGTCCATTAACATTGAAACAAATAAATTGTTTAAAGATGATTATTGTTCAGTATCCAATTTTCATTAAAAAAAATTAAGCAGCTTACGGGAAGCCAAACTTAATTTAAATGGGTAGGTATATAAAAAAAAATTATATCTAAAAACAATTGACGTTTTCAATTAA